ATTCTCGTTGTATTTGTCAGGCAGTTTTGTCCCTATCAAACCACAGTTGTCCTGCATGCTATAACAGTTACCACAACCTAACAATAGAATCAAAATATGAATAAACAACTCAACAAAATAGCAAAAAGTATTATCGTGGAATAATATAAGATATTTTGAGTATACCATAACGTTTTCATAAATATACATAAAAATCAGGATATTTCTAAAAAAATAGTTAAAAATAACTTCTAATAATAATTATATCTAATCCAAACTGTATATATTAAGATAACATGCGAATTGTCAAGTTCAATAGTTCGTCATATAACAATCATAGTTCTTATTTTTGGCGTTCATTTATAAATTTCCATAGGTTAATCTTAATATCGGTACCAATGCTGCAGATTGTTACACAACTAATTATTAGTGAGGATCGAAAATTTAATCTTAGAGATAAATGTCGACTCTAAGATTATTAAATTTAGTCTAATAGTTGACCTGCATCTAAGGAGGTAAAGTCTCATTAATATCATTATTAAATTAACACGACGAAAGACGCTCAAAATCACTGTTTCTTATGGGCTCTCACTATATATGATCTATATGTAAAACATGGTCAATTAAACGCAAAATAGTAATATTCTATTGGCTGTTGCATTACCAGGGTGTCCCAAAAAACCCGAAAACTATTGAAATCACTTATTGTTAAATTTGAATGCCCTACCAAACAGCTGGACGTAATGATGCGTAAAATATTGACAAGGTGCATGTATTAGAATTTAGTTAGGAATATCTCCTGGTAAAGTGCGCGATTTTCTGCTCCTGGGAATTAAAAACAGCTTCTTAAACAGTTTCTTTATGCATAACATTTACTTATGTCAATCATTTATGCACTCGTGGGAACCAACAGAGCGCTAAGGCATTCAAATTCTAACAATTAAATTGTTATTGCTGATTTCAATAGTTTTCGGTTTTTTTGGGACACCCTGTACAGTATAGGCAATAAATCATTACTATACAGGGTGTCTCAAAAAAACCCAAAATCATTTAAATTGACGTATTGTTCGATATTCAATGCCCTAGCACTAAGTTAATCCCACGAGTGCATAAAAGATTGAGATAACTGCTATAATGAATGGTAATACTCAGCGTAAACTTGTTATGTCAGGCATAAAGTACTAAACCCACGAATTTACGAAGCATTTTTAAATTCCCATGAGCAAACAAACGTTCACTTTACAAAGATATTTTAATTTTTTAAAACAAATTAATCACCCTGTCAAAATCCTTTGTGTTACGGCATTGAAATTCGAACAATACGTTATTTCAATGATGGTTTTTTTTTGAGACACCCTGTATACAGGGTGTATTAAAAAAAGGTAATCGAACTTCAGCGCGTTATTGTATCTGAATTACTCTGCGTATGAACGAGATATTTTCACATTTGGAAAGATCATGCTTTTAGGTGTTGAATGATATCTTCTTCATGCCAAATGGATAAAAAATGAGCAAATACGAATCCGATAATAAATGTTAGTCAGAATCGCATATTTTCACCGTTGAGAGTTGGGTCTAAAACCATTGAAAATGAACCCTCTTTGGTACTTAAGTTGAAGAATTTCACTTCAATTAACGACGCACGTATTCATAATTATTATTAAGTAGGAATAAATATTAGCTAAGCTACGACACTTTCGTGATTAATTGCTTTATCCTTTGTTATGCATTGTTTTAATTAGGCACAGAGGTGAAAATATGCGATTTTGACTAACGTTTTTAATTGGCCTCGTACATGCTTATTTTTTGGCATGAAAAGCATGTCATCCGACGATAGCTAAAAGCCTGATCTTTCCGAATATGAAAACCAATTGTTCATACGCCGAGTAATTCACGTCGTATAATAGCGCGCTGAAGTTCGATTACCTTTTTTTTTATACACCCTGTACAGGGTGAGTAAAAAAGAACTGATACCTTCGCGGCTAATTTGAATAACAAAGGTGTCAGATTTTTTAATCACCTTGTACAGGGTGTCCCCCCAAACCCCAAAACTATTGAAATAACGTATTGTTAGAATTTGAATGCCTCAGCACTCTGCTGAACCCATAAAGAAACCGTTTAAGAAGCTGTTTTAAATTCCTAAGTGCAGAAAATCGTCAATATTTAATATATGCACCCATGTCAATATTTTACGCATCTTTGTATTCAGCAGAGTGCTGAGGCATTCAAATTCTAACAATACGTTATTTCAATAGTTTTGGGGTTTTTTGGGACACCTTTATTTTGACAGATTATGCTCGCAACCCACTGTAATCTGCCAAATAGGATTTGTCTTTAGTGTTTACTATTACTACAAAGGACAATTTGTATAGATAGCCGGAAAACCAATACTCCATATTTTGTTCAGCTTGACGAATTAATCTTCCAGCTTGTCTTTCCACTCTTGAAAACATTGCTCAAATTGTTTGTGTAGCACGCTTGCAGTCTGTAATGCAGAAGCTCGCATATAAGTCATGCGTATAAAATTATGAACTAAATTTAGTGACGTTAAAAATACTATACTCTCCAATGGTATATACACTGTCTAATTGTGAGTTGCGGCATTGTGAAATGTACGCTTTAAAGTTTAAACTTTTGTATATCTTCAACGAAACCCCAGGAAAATTTCGTTACTATAGTTATAGCTTACTCGCCGGTTTGCCTCCTTTTAAATCTTGTAGAATCTTGTAGTCAATAGTCATTACAGACCGGCGGGACGTATGTGAATACTTTCGTATGCATGTCTATACTTTCAAGATCAGTTTATAACTACATCATTATGCAGGGTGTCCCAAAAAAACTGCAAACTATTAAAATAACGCGTTGTTAGAATTTGAATGCCTCAGCATTCTGCTGAACACACGAGTGCATAAAAGCTTGACATAAGTAAATTTTATGTTAATAATTCAAGCACGTTAGGTGAAAGAACAGCCCGAAAATAAGCAAAACACACACCAAATCATTGTGGGAGAATGGGTTCAGGGTGAAGTGAACCAATTATATACATTATACTCTCAAACTCTGGTCAACCCAAAGACTCATTAAGCCTTATGTTTTCATCCCGCAGGCGTATATATAAGACCTGTTAGGAGAGACTGAATGCTCCATAGGAGCTCTGCCCGAAGGGCAGCAACGGGTAGGGGTAAAACGCGGAAACGGAACGGACCCGCGGAAATGGAATGGCGGAAACGGAAAAACGGAAACGGAACAGAGGGTAAAACGCGGAAAAGGGGTAAAACGCGGAAAAGGGGGTAAAACGCGGAAAACAAACTTTGAAACCAAACTATACTTAAAACTTCGTTTAAGATAGTTTGCTTTAGGTTTTGGAGTGCTAGATCAGTATCATTACTTCGAAGATTATATTCTCTATTAAGATCTTTAATTTTGATAAATTTTTCTCTAAGACTTGGAGCGGACTGTTCATTAAGAATTTTGTACATCAAAACGCTCTTCACCCAATGACGTCTTACGTCATATGCCCACCGACTAACAATCATACACCTACTATGTAAAGGCCGGTTTACACCATCAAAGTTACTGTGTTCAAAGTGGCGTCATCTCGCCTTTTAAATTTAATTTGTGTTTTTGAAGGGTGTTTAATAATGGTGCAAACTTCGTTAATAAAAGCATCCTGCATGCAGTGAGCACAAAAACGTTGATAGTGTAAAGGCCAGACTCCACCGCTGCCCCCTCCCCCCCCCCCTCCATGTGAAAAGTGAATCTGACATCGTGGGTAGTAGCAGCCGTATTTGTTTCGCGAGAAAAAAGATTCGCTTCGCCATTACTGGATAAGTATAGCGGGTCAGTTATAATTCTCTCAAGTCTGTTATTTAATTTAAGAAATGCCGACTTGACGCCAACGGAACCGGATAATTTGAGAAAAACACTTGCGGTTTGACAAAGAAGACCACCTACGCAGTAATTGGCTAATCGCTTTCAGTGCGAATACCTTGCCATAGGCTTAGTCGCTTTATAGAGATAGTCTATACTGTATTATCCATACAAGCGTCGAGTCTGCAAAAATTTTCATGATACATATACTTAAAACATAACATTTTGACACTAAATACATAACGATTACCGCGCTGTCAGTGCAAGTTTTCTTTGCATATATACACTGTAAATTTCAAGGAGTTGAATCAGCCCCACCGAGTGTTATATTGTATCACCAAAAACGATGACAGAATAGCTATTTTAGAGTTGTTTCAACTCGTTGAAATTTACAGTTTAGACAACATGTTTCACAAATCTATTAAGGAACTGTGTACACCATTTCAACGACCGAATTAATCAGATTGTCAGATATTTAATTTAAATAACCCGGAAACATGTTGTTTGTGCAAAGAAAACTTGCCCGCAGCGCGCAAATCTTATTTGAAAAGCCGTTAAAAAATTGTATGTTTACACGCACAAAAAGTGACGTATTTAGTGACAAAATGTTATGTTTTGAAAGGTAAAATGGTAAATGTCATGAAAAATTTGCTTTCAAATAACTCTTACGAGTCGTTTGGGAACACGCTGACTCGACTTAATTAAATACAAGTTATGGTGTCATATAACTGACAAGGTAATGTAATTTCATTTATCACTATACTTTTGACAGTCACAAAAATTTTTTTCTATAAAAGCTATATTCTGAAATATAAAGTCCATTAGTAAGTTTTATACCCATCCATACCTCAGTGCAATTGTAAATGTTTTGACTTTGCATTATAAAACTGGTAAAATTTAGACATCTTATACAAAGAATAATGTCCCAATAAACAAACTTATATCTCAAAAAACAAAACAACAAGGTTCAAGTCCGAACAGCCAACTGGTGCTGTGATTACGTACAATTAAATTATTATACCAAACTCTGTTAGAAAATGTGTATGCACAGGAGTTACATGTGCTCTAACTGAATCGGGTGTTGTCACCATTCGTGGACTGAAATAGGGCTGCTTCATTTTAATACAGCGGAGATTTATGTGAAAGTACACATTCTGGAAACTCTGGCGTCTCTCTCCTGTAATCTTATCTGGCCATTCCCTATTCATCTTTGTCACTAATACCAGATCGTACGGCTCTATGGCAATTGCCCCATGAGGTTTAAGTGACTGGGAGCAGCCAAAGCATGTTCGAACTAGAGGTGAGCATAACTGCAGCAGCTGAACATATATTCCCTCCAATGGTCTAGAGAATGGCATTGCACTGTAGATCGGGTAGACCATTGACGGCCGTACGTCATTTGAAGGTTGAAGATCTTGCAACTGCTGGTTATTTGATGTAGGTTGGTGATGTGGCGGCTGTACATCAAAATTTGGAACACTGTAAAAACCGTTCGTAC